CATTTTAAAAGGCAATATTAGCCCGTCTACGCCTCTTGAGCTTTGGGTGGCATAAAAAGTTCAATAAATGATTATCAAACAATTGTACAATTCTACCACTGCCCCGAGGGGAAAAGGTAACCACTTTTTCAATTGGAAAAACTACGGAGATGTTTACGAACATTTTCAACAGTAATGCGAAATCCGGGAAAAAGGTACGACCGTCTGTACTTAAACCAGGGGTAGTCAACCTTGGCTCTTTTATGACTCGTGGACTTCAACTCCCAGAATTCCTGAGCCAGCTAAGCTGGCTCAGGAATTCTGGGAGTTGAAGTCCACGAGTCATAAAAGAGCCAAGGTTGACTACCCGTGGTTTAAACTCTCAAAAAGCAGATACGGTATAAAAAAATACTAACAGAACTTTCCCGAATCCTCGGAGTCAGAAGATTGACTCGCGTCTCTCCCTCCACTATGCGACATCTAAAAGAGCTGATGGCTGGGCAAGGGGGCCTCCGAGATCATACAAACCACCCCTTCTTCACCTGGACGAAGAAGCACTGAACAGCGGTGGAGGCTATTTAACCATGCCGGCAGCCAATCAGCGGCCGCAAAGGGACCTAGATTTCGATTTCCCATTATATACGGAGGAGGGCGGGGGGAGAGAGAGAACACAACCGAAGACAGCTGAGGAGAAGGCAGCCGTTTTGGATCGCAGCTCTGTCCTTTGCAAACCGGATGCACAACCCCGAGCGGCAGGAGAGAATTGGAAGGAGGTAATTTTTTTTTTTTTTGAAAAAACAACAACAAACCACAGTATGGTTGGCCTTTACTTTTTTTTTTTATTATTTTTTTTTACATTTGTTTCAATGTCAGCCCAATGCTTGGTGACGTCACGCTTTCTTTCCTTAGTAATAAATCAATAGTTGAATCCATACTTTGCTGGGCTAAATCTTATACGGCTGCATGACTTCAAGTCCCATAAGCCTCAGCGATCACGACGGTATCCCCCAAACCAGGGGTAGGCAACCTCGGCTCTTTTATGACTCGCGGACTTCAACTCCCAGAATTCCTGAGTCAGCATAGCTGACTCAGGAATTCTGGGAGTTGAAGTCCGCGAGTCATAAAAGAGCCGAGGTTGCCTACCCCTGCCCCAAACCATCTCGGGAGTTATAGTTCAAAAGTTGGTTTGTTTGAATGTGGACCGGCAGGTCCACATTCTCCGCCCTCAAAAGAGGGAGGAAAGCCACATTTCCATTTTTTTCTTACCCATCATGATTATCAATTTATCAGTCGATGCGGACACCCAAGGAGAAAGCCAGGCTCTTGCCTGCACTGTCTTAACGCATAATTTCGGGGGATACCTGGGAATCTCCCTTCCCGAAGAGGAGGGAGGGAGAAAGAGGAGGAGGAGGGGGCGGTGGCTTTGGTTCCCTTAACAAAAATGGCTCTCCCGCCTTCCGTTTCCTGCCACTCCGCGGACATCACTTCCTGAGGCTTCCTGAGCGAGGCGAGGGCGGGGCGCGAGAAAATGCCGCTGTTAAACCGCCGATCTCTGGACTGGCTCTACTCGCTGGTAAGGCGCTGCTGCTTTGTTAGTCTCCCTCTCCCCCATTTCTTTTGTTGCTTGGGGGAGCGGGACACGGTATCTCCCTACAAAGAAATCCTGGGAGGCCGATTTACGGGCTCAATCCCGTGTCAGCTGCTCAAAAGCAAGGAGCGGTGCGCGATCTCTCTCCCTCCCTCTCTCCCTCTCCCTCCAGAATGTAGACACTTTTAATAAAGGGATCCACCCAAGCGAGAGACCCCGTGTGGGGTTATTTTGTTGCCTCAAACGTTAGACTTTGTTTATGAGCATTTATAGCAATCCTTGAATACACTTGCCATTTTAAGAAACATACTAACTTAGCTGGGAGAGAGTAACGTAACCCGTAACTTTGCCACTTGTGGGATGTTACTTAGAAACAGCGGTTTTCTATTATACAAGTCTTGCATGTAATTGGTGTCTTTTGTTGTTTGATCACTTGATTTCTAACTTACTATGATTGATTTCATTGATACCATGTAAAAGACCTTTGACCCCCCCCCCCTTCCATTAATAAATGCCTTTTGCTTTGCTTGAATTACTTGGTGATTTGTATTTTCAGGTGGACAAAGAAGCACCTTTGTGTCTCTCAAATTCAGGAAACAGGTTGTTATCAGTTTCGCACCAAGGCTTTCCATGGAGGTCTCTAGGTTGTCTAGAAACAATATTACCTTCTATGGCTGGACCATAGTTTAATGAAGAGAAGGACGAGGGGGGACATGATAGCACTGTTCCAATATCTCAGGGGCTGCCACAAAGAAGAGGGAGTCAAGCTATTCTCAAAGGCGCCTGAAGGCAGGACAAGAAGCAATGGATGGAAACTAAGCAAGGAGAGAAGCAATCTAGAACTAAGGAGAAACTTCCTGACAGTGAGAACAATTAACCAGTGGAACAACCTGCCTCCAGAAGCGGTGAATGCGCCAACACTGTAAGTTTTTAAGAAGAGACTGGACAGCCATTTGTCCGAAATGGTATAGGGTTTCCTGCCTGAGCAGGGGGTTGGACTAGATGACCTTCAAGGTCCCTTCCAACTTTACTATTATTATTATTATTATTATTATTATTATTATTATTATTATTATTATTATTATTATTATTATTATTATTATTATTATTATTATTATTAT